TTGGTTGGGTTTTTTTTAGGGGGGGAGGGGTTTTGCAGAGCTCACAACTGCATAAAGTCATACGTGTGCGCGGGACTTACCAATTTTGGTTTGGTAGGAATTAATGTTAAATTTTGTTCGGGAAGCAGCCGAAGCCTATTCTTATTGATTTTTTGGACCACCAAGGGATCTTTATCGTTCGCAAATTGCACACGGGAGACAAAAGCAGGCGACAGAACATGGATAGAGAGGGAAAGAAGATGAAAGGAGACATTTTAGGAAGAAAGCTTTCCATCATGGCTGTGAGATGTCGAACATGAGACCTATCGAATGAGATGCGAACACCATACCTCTAGACCACGAGAGCCCCCTCAAGCTTTGTTGTTGTGAATACAAACGTATATATTGTATAATATTATGTATGAGGAGCCCGCGGGGAAAAAAGGGAATAGTCACTGACTGAAAATCATGAGGGTATCAATTTTGAACGCTTGTTGACTCGTAACTGTATTTCTGTTCTACTGTTGGTTGATCATTGCTGTTAGATTTTCTTTTCAACAAGCATAACAATAAACACCAGTCAAACAAATATAATGGAGTTATGAGCTTTTAAAATTGACACCCTCACAATTTTTAGTTTGTGACAACGCCCGTTTGTCCCCGATGATTCCTCGTATGTATATTTTGTTTTTAATATAAAAAAAAATTAAGACAACTGTCCTGGATGACTTTACAGTCTTGTGATCTGTCCTCAGCGTGAAGCGAGTGCACACACCAACAGACCAGACCCATGCGGTCACTGCAGGAAGCCGGTGACCAAACTGGTCAACAATTCCCACAAACACCGGGCTTGAGCAGGTGGGATTTGTTGTCCTTTCTCATGTTCCTCCTTGTTCATTCTGTGGCGTGTGTCTGTAGTCACACTATTTAAGGTTGTCATGTTGTAGTTACAGTGAGTTGTTTTTGTTTGTTTGTTTGCCAGATTGTTTGTTTGTTTGCTTGTTTCCTGTGGGAGGGGCTGCAGACTTGTAACCCTAGCCTGTGGTATAGACTAGAGCTGTAGGCCTACTATTGAAGAAGAAGAAGAAGAAGAAGAAGAAGAAGAAGAAGAAGGGGAGGGGATGAGAACTGAGGAGAAGAAGAAAAAGTAGCAAATAAAGTCGATCCTACTCTAATTGCCCCCTGTATGAGACAAACACCTGTAGCCTACTACAAACGGCCACCTGTTTTGTCTTTTTTTTTGGGGTGGGGGGGGGGGGGGTTAACTACATTGTAATGACTTTGTTTAAGACGGGGCTACCAGTCACATCAAAGACCGCTATTTTTCTCTGGGACAGGTGGTGGCCGCATTGGGCAAATGGTCGCTTTTAAGAACAAGCGGGCTAACCCAGATTTTGGGGGTTTCCAGAAATCTTGACCTACACCAATAGTGGGCATTGCTCTACCTCTAGAAGAAGTTTGGTTTCATTAGTGTGTATGTTTGTTTGGTTATAGAGAAAATTCTCCTTGTCTTTTAAAGAAACTGAACAAGGGGCACTTACCTTCGATTTTCTTCAAACAGCATTTTTGGGGATAGGCCCCCTTGTGCCTAAAAGCGACCAATTTCAACTGTATACATGATGATGAAAAATAAGTAAAGACTTATATAATATAATAACATTATAACCGTGTTTCTTGTTTCTTTCAGTTTCAAGGTCAAATTGCGTGTGCTCAACCGGATGTGGTCCCGCCCAGGGCCACGAGATGATGACCCTCAGCACGTCACTGGACTCTCCCTCAAACGATCCACGGTTCAAACAGAGACAAACAGAGCAGCAGTATCTCAATAATCGTACTATAGAGAGTGCCATTAGCTCAGCTGGTATCACGCTAGACTGCAGTGCAGACAGCCCAGGTTCGGATCCCCAGCCGAGAGATTCAGGACTTGGGTTGTGGAGGAGTTTTTTTTTGTTTTTTTAACTCACTTGCGACTGGGCCCTTTCACCAGCCACAAGCATTGAAGACTGGTGTTTTGGGGGGTATTTCAATAAATCACCACAACTCTCAGAATTACCCTATTGTAATCATTTTTTGACACAGTAAAGTAACATTCAAGCTTAATCTAATACAAAAAACTAAAGTTGTCTAAGTTTAATACTTTAATTTGTACGATTTTTTAAAAATTGGCATGAATTTGATTTTCGAAAAATTTCCAGAGACGTGACAAGTAGAATGAAATTCACTGCAACAACAAAAATAAAAGTTCAAAGTGTTCTGGTTTGACTTGTATACATGTGCAAGTGTTTGGTGAAAATATAAAAGCTGGTCTGTGCATTGATTCAGACCCATACACTGAATTACATGAGACAGATGTACGGCACGACGTTGTGATTTCGTTGCGCGAAAAACAACACCGGTACTAGTGCTAGATCTAGCCCTAGAACTACGACTCGGGCCGTGTTCGGGTACATATCCAGGATCCTAACTATTAGACACATCATATTCTGAGACACTAGAACTAGTAAAACGCACAGAAGTATAGAAAACGGCGAAATTATGTGATTCTTGTTCATGCGACTTCTTCGACCGTTACTACGACGCGACTGTCGGATTACTATGAGCTGTATAGAAAAAAACAAAGCGCGAGTTCCGGTCTGTTCAACCCCAGTTGGGGTCACTGTCTTTCACCTTCAATAACTTAAAAACTACCGGCCCCAGAGATACGAAACGAAGTCTAAGTAGCTCAGGCTTGGCCAAACAAGGGTACGAGGCGGGTCTCGCGATCCGTGCGTGATTTGTAGAGCGAAAAAAAAATTCCAAAGTTGGTCACGCAGGGCTTGTGAGACCCGACGCGAGCGTCATGGCGGGGGTCACGCAACTGTTGTGTGACCCGTCTGAAGTGAGTTAATAAATGACCCTCCACCAATGTAGCTCAATCAAATCAGATATGGGCGTTAAATCGGAGGTGACGCCTCTATATTGTCCCTACTTACTTGTGTTGATTTTAAGGCAGATAGATTGAAAGATAGATAGATAGTTTTAAATGATGTAATGTGCTCGTTTGTTTGTTTGAAAAAGCTTGTAAGAAACATGACAAGACTATGCTATACTCACGAAAAACATGATATTTCAGAAGGTAAAAAGTTTTGAAAGTAAGACTAATCTATACTATTGACATGAATTTGGGGTGCGGCTTTGTTTATAATGATTATATTGATGTGTACGGATGTGGTGGGGTAAAGTGGTTGTTCTTTTATTCTGCTTGTTATTCTTGTGGTGTACATGAGAGTATATGATGTGCCCACCTGTTCCTACAAGTTCCTATAAGAGTATTTTAAAGAATCTAAATACAGTAGATTTGTCTGCTCAGTCTAACAATGTATGTGTGCGTGTATATTGACTTAAAAAGGTGTCAAATGTGGTTGCATGCGTGGTTATGTTGTGCGTGTGAATTCTTAAATATTCTCGTATTTTATAATAAAAAATCATACACATGTTCGTGAGTTTGCTTTTTGTGTGTGTACAAGAGCATGTTTAATCTTACTGCTTGGAAAAACTGCATGGTCCTTTGGTTTGTGATGTCAAGTCATGAAAGAAAGAGAGGAAGAATTTTTTTCTTCCTAATTTTACACTGAACGCACCTGTTGTTCTGATGCTTGCTCTACATATGCGTAAGTTATGTAGTGTGAAGTTTGTAGAGAGCCTTTCTTATCTCGTGTGTGGAAACAAATAAAAAAGATTGTGCTTCTGTGCACATTTGCTCCGAGATACGGATTTGTTTGGGGGGGGGGGGTTTGACAAATGCAAGGTCTTGATGTTTCCTCCTTTATTTTCTTTTAACTTGAACTTGTTGCCACACCTCTCCTAAACAAAACAAAGCAAACAAAACAACAAACAAACAAAAAATCAAAACCCCAACCCACATTAAATAATAACAACAACATCAAAAAGAACTAAAAAATTATGAAATCTAAATGATTGGTGGCACATCGTATCCGTGCCGATTTGATTAAAACTGCACCTCAACTACATCAATCAACAACAGCAAAGGGGGGAAAAAATCAACCCCTAAGGTAACGATGATTTCAATGCAATGCGAGCGGATATCTCCTGATGTCTGGAAATCCACGGAAAGTTCACTTTTGAACCGTATGACCTGACTGCTACTAATAAAGTTTCCCATTGACAACTCCAAGGGGTTAATGAACAAGCGTCTCAACAAGTGGTTGCAGTAGGGCACTTTACTCTTCATAAAATAGATAATTCTGTCCCCGTAGAATTATGCAAACTTAGAAGGCCAAATTATGCACAAAAAAAGCAAAATTATGCAAAAATTATGCAAGTTACCGTAACACCATTCGCGACATGTTTTGCACTTTTTCAACACGAAGTTTCATGATTTGCATGTTTTGTGTACAGAAAAATTGAAAACAGAACATATCAGTATCAGTAATTATTAATTGTTTTGCCAAGAAACGCCCCCTTTTGTTGAAAAGTAGTTGAGTAGTTTCTCTCGAACCTCGTGCCAGTTTTTGTCAACCTGTAATAGTAATAGTAAAATGTGCGACAACCATTTTGCTCACGTCTGGCTTTCCTCACTTGTTTGTTTGTTTGAGTAAAGAGAAGCACATCGACACAATAAAGGTCATTTAGTTCTGTGAAAAAGTAAGACATACAGACAGAAACAACCCCCCAGTAAGGTCTTCTGAGCGTCAAATATTAGAGGTGTACAAGATAGTAACAACCACTAAGAAAGAAGGAGGAGAGATTATAAGAACAATAGATGTTTGAGTTTGATAGGAAAGAAGGAGCAAACCACACCAGTGTACCCATCCGCCAACTACCCACTTCGTTTAGTTCAGCTTGGTTGAGTTTTGGTCAGAGTTTTATATGACATGCAGCACAAATAGGTCATATAAGTAAAAGAGTCGAAGATTAGAGGTGTTACAAGAGGGTCCAAAGACAATAGAAAAGGAGGGGAGATAAAGATGATAGATGCTTGATAGGAAAGAAGGAGCAAACCACGCCAGAGCACCCGCCAACCACCCACAAAGAAAAACAGACAAAACAGGAACTATAACAATTAGTTTGACGAAATATTTGGAAGCAAAATCCAGCTTTTATTATATTAAAAACAACCACAACAACATAATAATAAACGTATTGTTTGTACGTTGTTGTTTTTTAAAGAATTCCACTAAAAGATTCCAACAGCTGCTTTTTTCAGGACTACAAGATACAATGGTGCAAAACATGGTCAGATCCAAACCAAGGGAACAATATATGACCCCCAGTGCACACTGCCAATTGGATTCAATCGAATCAAGTCAGAGCCGGCAAGTCAGATTTTCCTAAATGGAGGGGCCAAAGCTACCAGTTTGGCAAAAAGTACAGAACTAATTTGACTTGCAACCTTGATAACCATACTGACTGCTCAACGTAAAACTGTCATTTTATGTCATTTTTTCAAAGTGGCATATGGTGGAGTTTTACTCTAAGCAGTCGAAATGAATTCGTTTTCAAAAGACGTAATAGTCGAATTGAGTAAAAATCGGTCAAATTGCATCAAAATGGTAGCTCTTGCCCGCGTTCATAGTGGAAAATCTAGCAAGCTACCAACTCGATCGAATGTATTCTGATTGTCAATACGCACCAGGTATTTTAAATTACACTTGATTAGATAACAAAGGAACAAGAGAAGGTGTCAAGGCAGAAAGACCTGGCTAGGAACACCACACAGCTGTTCATTATGTACACTAAACGTTTAATAAATAAATGTATGACTGACTCTGGACGGTACGTCATCCGCAAACTTGAACTTTTCCATTCCAGGTTTCCATCATCCGTGAACTTTAACATTTCTAACCCAGGGTGTCATCCAATCCAAGTACCATCCGTGAAAAAGCCGTTCCATTCAGGAAAAAACTCAATTGCTACCTAACGAAGGAAAAGTAACTTTTAACACAAGATGTAACACATCCAACAATAACTCCCTAACTCCCCTCCTTCAAAGAAAAAGAAACAGAAACATCAGCAGCAAAAATCCAAAGCGAACTAAAACTACCTCCAAAAAGCACAGAACATATAACCCTTCGCCCAAAATATAACTAAAAAACAACAAAACCAAGCAGAACCCCTTAATTAACAAGTAATTTACTTACATGAACTTCATCTTAGCTTTAAAAAAAAATATTTAAAAAAGATGAAAAAAGTGAATTATTAAGTCTAAAATTATACCTTAAAGGCATAAGAATCAAGAATCACCACCATGTTGACACAATTTTTGTATTGTTACTCACAATTAGAATCTATACCTCAGCCAAGCAATCTTCAAATCAAAACCTTTAACATTACTGGGAAGTTCCTTGTGACAAGCCCAGCCTATTTTAGGTCGTAAATGAAGAGCTAGTACAAACAAGTACAATTATTATAATTAATAATAATTACACAGTATTATTTCATAAACAAATGGAGCAGTAAAAACAAAAATCGCACGGGACCCACCGGGCTCTACCCTCTAAACCATCACAGTTGTGAATCAAAACTGTGTTCTTTCTATCTCGTCAATCAACATTGTCCATAGAACATGTCGGAAAAATCCGTTGATTTGTAAAAGATAAAAGGATAATAAAATTGGGGGAAAAAAGTATAAACTTTGTTTAGAGAAAATGGATAATACAACAACCTTTAGGAAAATGTTTCCATAGATTGCTGACACATTTCAAAACAACCATTAAAAACATTTTTTTTTCTGGTGGTCAATTGAATTTAGGCTTAACGTTGTCATAAAAGCAGCCAAAAAACATATTCAAGTCAAATTAAATGAAGCTCAAAATGGACTTTTGGATTATACTTGGTTGTAATATTTTGGACCCTAATTCATGGCAAAGACCAGCGATATGTCGGACGCTTGGAGATAAAAGTATGTATAAGCTACAAAAAATGACAAAACGATTATGGAGTCAGTGTCTACAAAGATATAATTTGACAAAAACGCAATGTGTAAACGCACAAAACCACTGGGAGAACAATCCATGAGTCGGATTAAGTCATTCCGAACGTCTTGCAGACCAAAGCCAGAGAAAATAAAGTGAACTCAGTGGTTCAAATACCCAAGCTCTGACAGGTACGTGAGACTAAAACTGACACTCAAAGACATTTCATGATATAAGATATTATGAGATCTACTGCTTTGCAGCTGTGCCAGAAACTATTCTCAGTTTTCAAGACTGACAGTTTTTGTTTTTATCAATCGCAAACTCACTGTGGGCGACATTAATTACTGAGTCGACTGGCAGGCCGGACTGAAACTGTCCACCGGTTACTGTTTGCCTTTGCCTCTTCTCAAGGCAACCGCAAAACCAATCAAAAACAAACTATCTTGCAGAGATTACATATTTTATGCACAACGTCAAAGATAACTTCTCATTTTATTATTTGTGATATATAATATATATATAGCTTGATACAGGTGGTAAAATTGAAATTAACAATATGACTAGCTGACAGGTCTTTCTGAGGGGAAGAAAACCACTATAAAATAAACACAAAAAGAAGGAATGTCTGTGAAAATTGTGCAAACTTTCTAAAAACTAAAAACTAAAAAAACATTGGAGTAAAATCTGGAAATATATGGGACAAATTCGACATTTCAAAAGGAATGTTGAAAAACAGTTGTACATCAACGACATCCAAAATACAATAAATTTTTAACAAAAATTAATTCTCAAAAAGAACACAAGTTTGAGCATAGAAAGGTGGATTTTTACAAAAATTCTTGACATATTTTTGTCATTCTATTAGCCATCAGTGACTTCAGTTCCACGTTTGGTTAAATAAAGACCAACAAGCATGAGCCGTCCGAATAACTCGTGCTTAGGACAAGAAGTCGCCTCTCCCGCCTCCCCAACCCCAGCCCAGGTTTACACCCAAAACCCTTACCCAGAGAAGGTCAGAAAAATCTGTGCTATAAGTATTTCCAAAGTTCCAGCAGACACAACTTAATGAACAAAAAAACCACTCAGAACAAATTCCATTTTACGGACCTGAAGTTGTAAAATTTGCGAATGTAACGAGAAAATTAGATTTTACTGTACTTCGGGACAGAACATTGCAATCCAGATCTTCTTCTTTTAATGAGATTTTACTTTCTGAAAGAAAAGTAGACTCCGGTCCAGATATATTTAAATAATGAGATTTTTGCAGTCTAAAGGGTAGCAAGACTCAGATCCCACAATTATAAAATCTTTGACAACATTTTACTGTCTAAAAGGAACAAACATTCAGATGCATGTGTGTCACAGCATGGAGGAATCAGGCACTCATCAATTTTATACCACATGGGGTTATCGATATCATCTTAAAGCCTCTTCATTTGCCTTAAACTTTCGGTGAAAAAAATTATCTATGTTGAAAAGAAGTCGAAATATTTACGATTGAAAGAGGTCAGGGTTGCCCGGTTTCAGAGGTAAAATTAGCGAGAAAATGGCGGCCAAAGTTTGGTAACTATCATAGCCTGAAAGTTCTCGGAAACTGAACATTTACATTTTTGTGCCTTTAATCAAGGTTTTTCAGTAAAATCCACATAAAAATGTGTTTTAAATGGACATAAAAGGTGTTGAGCCAAAAAAAGAAATTCAGAAAAATTTGCCCATTGGCCAAATAAATGCCGATTTCTTTTTTATTATTTTGACGAGCCCCTCATTTCACCATCGTGCTTCACATAGACCTTGGTACCTAAAGCAGTTGTGGAAGGCTATCACAGCGGAAAGTTTTGGCACGTACGACTCACGAACTGGGAACAAGAGGCACCGGGTTCGTCCCGGCACTAGGACAGACAGACAATACCGGGACCAGAAACTGACGTCAGTCACTTTGTTTTACTCCTTCCACAGCTGTCATTGATAGGTACTGTTAATAATCCAATCTGGTCCATAAGCAATTCTATATAAATTGGAAAAAAAAAAAAGTGGATTCCACTTAAACCAAACACGGTTAATCTGAAAACAGAGTATACCAAAATATAAAAAAAACCACAACTTTTTTCCCTTCAAATACAGCAACTTCTCTAAACCAAAAACTCGGCTTAACCGAAAAAGTCAGGCAGCCACACAGATCAGCAGACTCAACAGTGTATAAGACAGGACGCGATGGAATCAGGCACTCGTCAATTTTGGGGCATACAGAGTTATTGTTATCTTGATTTAGGTGAAAAAAATTCCAGGCTATCTTGAATAGAAGTCGAGATATTTACAATTGAGGGATGTGGGGGTAGCCTGTTGTCAGAGGTAAAATTAGCTACAAAATGGCCGCCAAAATTAGGTAATTTTATTAGCTTGAAAGTCCTTAAATACTGAAAAATGACACATTACGTGCCTTTCATCAACATTTTTCTATACAATTTGTGTTTTTACAGTCACAGAAAAGGTGCTGAGCAAAAGAACAAAAATTCTTTAAAAATTGCCAATGTGCAGAAAAATGCATGTATCTTCGATTGAATTATTTTGACAAACGCCTGATTTCACCAAGCTGCCTCACATATACATTTTCAAAAAGTTGGCAAGTCCAAAAAGTGAACGAGTTCAGGCACAGAATAAACAAAATATCCTATACAACTTTTATGCAATTCTGAAAGCAAGAGAAGTAAGTTACCGGTATTTTTCATTCTTTAAAGGCACATTCAAAATTGTAAAACTTAATTCTAAAAAAATTGACTTAGTTATCATGTCAAGAATACCCTGTACTGAAATCACAATTATATTAAACAACAAATTTCAAGCTTTTTCTCTACAATCACAAAAAATAATGTGGGTAAAAAAATCCCCCATATATCTATCACCGTAGATATTCCTTGGTCTTCTTCTTCATCATCTTCTCCCCTTCCTCTCCCCCCCCCCCTCCCCCGACCGCATCTCGAGCCAAACCTTCACTGAATGTGGTTCAGTTCTCTCAATTCCCTTGACTTTCTTTTAGAACAAATCAAAATTGCAAATATGTAGGAAAAATAAATCTCACTATCATTGTAAATAATCCGATCTGGTCCATAAAGCATAAAGCAAAATAAATTGGGGGAAAAAAAAGAGAGAAAAAGTAGAAATAAGGAATGAACAGAATAAAGGAAACAATAAAAAAGTAACGGAACAGGGTGTAGAAAAAGAGAAAAAATTAAAAGATGGAGGGAGGGGAGACAGTGAGAGAGAGAGAGTGAGAGAGAGAGAGAGAGAGACAGAGAGAGAGTGAAAGAGAGAGAGAGAGAGAGAGAGAGAGAGAGGGAGAGAGTGAGAGAGAGAGAGTGAGTGAGAGAGAGAGAGAATGAGAGAGTATGCAATAAAGCTTACAAGAATTTAATCAAACTGCATCCTAAGATACACAATAACGAGAGAATGAATCAAAGTGAAGTCAGTGACACGAACTTCACAACAACCACTAGACATGACACACACACAGACGAACACACAGGACCGGTAAATGACAAGGACAGACGACTGGAAACTACGTCGACAGTTGACCAGCTGTCACATGACAGATGGCTGACGACACTGCTGACTCAGCAACTGACTGGCTGGCTGGCTGTCACTCGTTAGAAGACGGATGGATGACCAGTGCGTCACTCACTGCTCCTTGTGGTCAAGGTCGTGGGAAGTGATGAAGTTGAGCAGGTCAAGGCGGGTGGCGATGCCGAATATCATCTGCTTCTTCTCCACTTTCCCCTCTGTGCCATCTGTCGAGAGATATTTATTTTTTGTTTCGTTTGATTTGTTTATTTTTCAGTTTTAGTAAGAGTTTTACGGCACTCCTATAGGTGCTGAAGATTAGAGGTGTTACAAGAAGGTAACAAACACTAAAAAGAAGGAGAGGAGATGAGGACGATAGATAGGAAAGAAGAAGGAAACCACACCAGAGCACCTGCCAGCTACCCACTTTGTTTGTTGGAGTAAAGAGAAGCACATCGACACAATAATCGTTATTGAGTGCTGGGGGAGAAAGTAAGACAAAGAGACAGACAAATGGAAAGTAAAAAAGTAGAACCGACCAGTGACGTCCTTCAATCACCCACTGTTTAGTTTGAGTACAGAACAGAACAAGCATTTGGAGAACGGGAAAAAAGCAAATGAAACATTTGTTTGTTTTATTTGAGTAAAGAGAAGCACAACTACTACCAGAAAATGAGGGAGAGTAAACTATCATAGAGCCATTGTTAAGTGAGAGGCCCTTTACTTCCAGCCCTATACATGTATACACACACACACACACATACACTCGCGCGCACGCACACACACACACACACACACACACACACACACAAGTATACTAGGCCATACACACAAATGCACACTGGCACACACACACACACACACGCACACACATGCACACACACACACACACACATACACGCACGCACATGCACACACACACACACACACATACACGCACGCACATGCACACACACAAGCACACATACACACGCACACACATGCATACTTGCCCACACACACACACATGCATACTTGCACACATGCACACACACACACACACACACACACACACACACACACACACACACACACACACACACACACACACACACACACACATACATACATGCATGCACAGACAAATAAACAAATGCTTGAAGTCGGCCTATTTCCAACATAAACAGAAACATGTACAGTGTGACACATACAAAACGCCACCATAAGTACGATTGAACCTGCTCTAAAGGCCACCTGTCCAAGACAATCACCTGTATATATATGACCACAAAGTCCCACCTCCCTCTTACTTTTTTTCTATGCTATGAAGACACTGTCCAAGACACCCACCAGTATAAGACAACCACTTTTCTTCCCAACAAAGGGTGGCCTCCTTGAGCAAATTCAACAGTATTTGTGACATGATCAGAAACACAAGTGAAACATACAGAAAGCCACCATAGATCAGATATGGTCACTGTCGCAAGCTATCGACTTAAGTCCAAATTTGGAGAATCTAAAAACTTTTACACCCTCCCAAAGCTCTTTCAAAAAAGCAAATTTCAATATTTCCAAAATGCACTTTATTTAAAGCTATGGTCAAGGCTTACAGTTTTCTTGCACTTCAAGACTCCTGATAGGAACAAAGCACCAAAAGCTAGTTTTTTTGTCTCTGATGTAAAAAGTACCCAAACAGACTTAAAAGGATCGCTAGCGACACCGATGGTATTCTCAAACAACTACAGACAAAACAAGTGCAAATCGCAGGTCTAAAGGAAAACTATTTTAAGTGACATATTTCGGAAAAAATTGAGATTTTTCAATGGCCTTAACTTCCACCAAGGGACTCAACTTGTGTTAAAACATCAGAGCCGTAACTTCAAAAATTACTGAGTTACATACAGCGCAAAGAAAAATTATTCTATCTCCTACTTGAGAAAACATTTTGAGGAAAAGTTTTATATTACGTGGTAGTTACAATACTTTTCCCACTTTAAAAAATTGTCACCTTGGTAGAAAATGAAGAAAACTATTGTAAGTGCTCAAGCCAGAATACTTTTCTTCTCAAAAGGCTCTACCAAAAACAAACGAAACTATCCCAAGTGCCACTTTAGAACAGTTTTCCTCATACTTTTTATTCAGAAAAAAGTGTTTAAGTGACACTTTGTTTGATTTAACTAGAATGGAAAAAATTGATTAGAAAACAATTTACAAAATGAGCCAATGTTGTTTTCTTCTACACGACATGTGAATTCCGGATCTTAGCATTGAGTTCTGTTGAAATAAAAGTTTTTTCCTTCTCCTATAAAATTTGCAAAATGTCAAAATGTTCTCCTGTAGACCCAAGAAATAGCCCCCAACAATTCCACAAAAACACACACACACAAACACACCATCAGACTCACACTGCCTCTGGTTATGAACAACCAGAACAAAATGATCCGTATCCAGCACTCTCGACAGTTCACCAAGGGATGTGTCCATACGGATCTGAAATACATCATTGAGGGATTGAGTATTTTATGTTCTACGGCACCTATATATTGCCACAATTTGGACAGATAAAAAAGCACGCAAATAAGTTGGGAGTCTTCCAGTTTAAAAAATCAACTGTTCAGTATAAGACCCCATCAGATGTCACTTTTCAAAATGGCACATGGTGGAGTCTCACAGTAAGCAATCAAAATGATTTTTAACACTCTGCAGCTTTTCACCAAATATCATTTACTAAGCCAAAACTACACCGCCGTAAGCTGACAAAACGCCTTTTTTCCCCACACAACAATTTCGAGAAAAAAGAGGGGTTTTTTTTGTCAGCATAACCATTTAAAAACAGGGTTATTCCGAAATTTGAATTATAATTTATTAAACAAACTAGTCAAAGTTTCACTTTGATCTTTTCACATAAATAGGGCAACTGATCAGGCTTTCTATTTAACAAATAAAAAAATATTGGTGCCAAAACGAAAAAAGGTGTTTTGTCAGCTTACGGCAGTGTAACAGTCAAACCTGTTCTATGGACTACCTGTTCAAGACAATCACTTGCACAAACAACCACTTCCCATTTCTTCCCTGGTTTGTAATATTCTGTACTATACCGATGCTGTCCAAGACAAACACCTGTCTAACACAACCACTTTTCTCCACAACAATGGGTGGCCATTTTGGATAATTTCAAGTGAATATCTTTATCAACTTCCATCTTCTGAAAGCACAGAGACTGGGATGCAAACACAATGACAAAGACATTGACAATGCACCATAATCCAAACTCTTACAATGCTATTGTCAGAAACAGCAAATGAAATTCTCCTTTACAGACTTCATTGTAAATACTTTACTTCACAACAAACATAGTCCAACAGAGGATGCCAGGTCCAACCTGGGCTAAGTTTGATACAGTATCCCGGCAGAAAGATGGAGATTCTTAAAAAAACATGCAAATATGTGAACAGGAATTAACTCATTCTTTGTGACCTAGTATAATCCAGGACTAGTAAAGACAAACCTGCTCTTTTTTAGTAGAGATTTTACGGCGCTGGCAACTGCAAAAGGTAATTTGAGCACCAGAACGAAGATTAGAGGTGTTACAAGAGAGTAACAAACATAAAAAAGAAGAACAGGAGATAAAGACGACAGATGTTTGATAGGAAAGAAGAAACAAACCACACCAGAGCACCCACCAACCTCCCACAAAACCTGCTCTAAACGCCACCTGTATAAGACAACTACCTGTACAAACGGACGCTTCCCATTTCATGCCTTGTGTATTTTTTACATTATAATTACATGGAAAGCAAAAAAAGGAGAACAATGGGGTGTGTCAGATTCTCCTTACAAGACAAGCTCTGCTGAATAAAATAGAATATAGGAAAATACAGTACTATGGCCACTTAAAATGACACAAGACCAAAGTGAAAGAGATGCCTGAAGGAGGGATGTGGGGCAAGAGAGCCAGGGGAAGACAAAGAGAAAGTTGGATAGACAACATAAAAACATGGACTGGCCTGGAAATAACAGAATGTGCAACGGCAGCAGCTCGCGACCGTGAAGGATGGAGGGTCATTACACGTCAACCTCTGAGTCCAGGTATCCAAGTGTAAGATGGCTACCTCTCTAAAATGACCACTTTTCTCCTCAACAAAGGGTGGCCGTCTTAGACAGTTTTGACTCTATATCAAATCATATTCCGTGTGACCTCTCACCTGTTTGAACTGCTTGTACATGACCTTTGACACAGGGTCGCTGGGCCGCACCCTGTTCTTCACAATCTGAGCCATCATGTTGCCCACGGTAGCCATTCCCAAGATGCTCCTGAAGGGTAAGAGTTTCGAATTCAAGTAAACCAGAAAGATTTTAAACAAAAAATGTTTCATTAGTATGTACAATAAATGTATAATTACAACTGGCAGAGGCTGTGGAAATTACAAAACGAAGCTGAAGTCTCACTGGATTCATTCTAATATAACTAATTTTGAAGTTTTACACTTGTGTGCCCTGTTCTTTCTCTTTATCAGCTGTCTGTCTGTTTTTTAAACATGCATGCGTGGACACACAGAAGCACACATACTCACACACACACACACACACACACACACAAACGCACACAGCATCACCCACTACGGGCACCTGATCAAAAGTGCTCTCTGTTCAACACACACACACACACTCACCTAACCCCTCC